TCCTCACATCAAATTCAGTGTGGTATCAATAATTTACATTATTTTCTTATTGTTTTCAGTTAACCAGTCAAAAGCAACAACCTATCTTGGAAGCTTCACAGCTCACACATAATGCATGTGATTCATTAATGGAAGATAGAAGTAATATACAAGAACAGTTTTGACTTCAAGATTCCAAAGCCCCTTTCCTTGAATCCAAATCAAGCTTTGATCCATTTAGCTTTCAACCATCTTATCACATTCAACGTTGTTTTAGAAAGGGAGAAAAAAATGACACCTTCACTTCCTCTTTCTCAGTAAAAATCTAACATGAACTCCCCCTTGTTTAATGGCCACACAATCTGAGATGCTTCTTGGAATTCCTTAGGATGTTAATATAGAGACTATGCATTTAATATTTGATGCTTTTGGTGCTCTTAACATACTCTCTTTCTCTCTCTCTCTACATGTGTGTGTGAGACAGAAATACACATATGTGGAACATTATTGTGAGTATTATAATTAGGTAAACCTTTTAGGGTTTGATACAATTTGATTGATTATTGAAGCCCACTCATTGATGGGGGTATTGCACATGGTCATTTGGTAGGGAAGAGTCTTGGAAAAGTAGGGTATCTTGTGCCAATCAAAGTGGGCAAATAAGTAATGTTCCTTGGTAAAGACGATTGGGATAAGTCAGTTGGTGCTGCCTATTGATGTAAGGCATGTCCCAATGTTATCCATTAGCTTTCTGCATGTGATTATGTAGACTTCATTTAACTCCTAGCTCTTATCTCAACAATCACCATCATACCTTTCCTGTAGGGGTATATTCAGGCCCATACATGCATGTCTGCTGCATGTATATATGCACCCATGTACATGTCTACAGGCATGTATACATGCTTGAAAAGCATATTTCTCAATCATAGAACAGTGGGCATACTTCTAGTTTGATGCATGGAATAATATATTTTTTTTTATTTAGGCTATTTGGCACATACAATAATAATGTACTCAATGTTTTCAATGAAAATTAAAAAAAAAAATGATAACTGATAGAAGAACCCTTTTGTTATTTAGTTTGTAATGGGGCCTATGTTTCTAAATATATTAGCTGAGGTTTAACCATTTTCATTCCCTTGAACATACATAGAATAAGGCTTCATAAACTTCCCTCTGAAAATTTTCTTACTCATTTTTTTCCTTTTTTTTTTTCTTTTGGTGGGTTTGGTATGGGGAAAGTAAGAAAATCCTTTTTATCTTATCTACCTGGCCGATCCAACATCATTTTCTTCATTATGAAGTCAACAAGTTCTTTTCTTCTTCTTCTTCTTCTTCAAAAAAAAAATTACAGTCAGTCTCTCTCTCTCTCCAAGAGAATTGGTAATATATTTAAATTATTTCATGAATATAGTTCAATAATGATCATTAAATTAATTCCACCCTGTATTTTATCTAATTACCTTATACAAAAGTTGCTTCTTGACTCCTCAAGGACACTTTTGTTCATCCAATTTATTAGTAGAATTGCAATAAAAAATAGTAGTATAATTATTGATTCCCTTTTTTTTTGCCCATTAAGACAAATAGTACATCAAATACTACCTTTTTTTTGATACAACATACGGCCTTTTGGATTTCCTTTTAAGAATAAACATCGCATTTAAGGCTAATATTTGTAATATTTACAATAGATGTGAACCATAGAAAGATATGAAATGATTTCTATTAATTTTTACAGCTTATACACTGTGGCAAAAAAATGTTTTCCAAAATAAATAATTAAAGGGAGGAAAGATATGACCCACATAGCATCAATGGATGACTGTTGAGAGGTAGGCAGTGCTTGACAAGGCTCAGCCATGTGCCTCAGGAATCTCCCGCTCCATTCTAATTCCCTGTAATAAAACCTAGATGGTGGAAAGGACAGCAGCCATGGAATAAAGATAAACTATTTATATTAGGAGTTTCTCATGGAAATTCCAATTTGAGTCATTTGACACCATTGCCCTTATTTTTTCTGTCATTTCCCAATATTTCTTTATCAATCTTAATTATTGATTTAAAGATTTTTTTTCCTTAAAATTATTTATTATCTTGTTTGCCAGTTTACTACCACAGCTATGAAACACCAAAAAGATTTATTGGGTGGTGATTTAGGCCCACCCCATGTTTTTTTAATGGCATGAGACACACCCTAACTAACTAACTATGGAATAAATACTTTCTTAAAAGACATATAGATCCCTTTCTATATGATAATATGATCTATAGAATCTCTCCTTATAAGTATTTGCTGCCTTGCCATGGACCCAATTTCTACCAAAAAAAAAAGGACCCAATAAGTACCTGTAGTCCTGCACACCATTTATACAGTTGGTGATTTTAGTATTGCGAATTAATAATTTACTAATTGTTTAGGTTCCGTTTGTTTGCAGTGCAAATGGGCTGAGTGTAAATCCTGGTTTATTTTTGTTTCAAATTTGACTTTATTTTGTTGGTATTAGGAAGTAAGATGATGCGGTCCCTACTTCATATAAAAGAGAATGGAAGTTGGGGTTATTTGCTTTGGAGGAATAAGGCAGGAAGTAAGTTGATATGGTTCCCGCTTTATATGAAAAGAATTAGGTAGAAGGAAAATTGTGCAAAATTTGCAACGAATTTTTTAGAAGCAAAAATTGCATTGCTATTTAATGCAAATGAGACAAAAGTGCACATTTTGCATCAATTAAGAGTACAAATTATAGTTGTAGACAAATGCTTGCAAAACTTATCCAGTTCAGATTTGCATTGCAAGCAAACAAAGCTTTAATTTCATAGTTTTTTTTTTTAAAGAACTAGTTCTTCTCTATCTTCATGTAAAGTTGTCAAGTAAAGACTCAAGAGGCACTGCATCAACAGCCAGTGACAATGAGGATGGGGAAGTGAGGAGTACCAAAAAGCGGGACAAAACGTCTTTCCAATCAAGAATGCTAATGGGCTTAGTGCAAATTTTGGCGGGAAGTTGGTCAATGGGAAAGTTGACAATATTCTTTTACTATTAAAGTGTGCATCTCATATCTCATAGAAACAAAACTTAAAACTTTCTTTTAGATATGTTTTTGGGAACTTATCTATGAAAGTTTTATCCACCTAAAAAGTGGATTAATTACTTACCCGTGGAGGGGGGAATTGACCAAATTGTGTAAGGCTAAAATATTTTTACAAAAAAAAAAAAGAAGAATCTTTTAAGAAATTTACTCATCACTTACCCATCTGATAAAAGAACATGAATAAATGTATTTACTTGATTAAAATTTTCTCAGGTAAGTAACTTACTGCCAAATAAACAAGCCTTATTTTCATGTTTTACTTTGTTTGGGAGGAGTGAAAATAGAAAGCAAAAAATAAAAAAAAAGTGATCTCCACATCATGGGAGATAAAATGAAGGTAAGTGTAAGGTCGTTATTTTGGAAAGAATAAAATTGTACCTTGCAAGTAAAATGATGTGGTCCCCATTTTGTAAGAGAGAGAATGAAGTTGAGGATAAGGTGGTGCAGTTTTTGCATAATTTCTTGGAAAGCAAATTCTGCACATTTAATGAATCCAAATAAGACAAAGGTGCAAAGTTTTACATCGGATAGAGGTATGAATCATGTAACTCTGCAGCTCTGAACCCAGTGCAGTGCAAATTTTACACCTAGTATGGATTTACACTACAAACAAATGGAGCAATGATAAACAAGGGGTGGATCTATGTTTGACATACATGAAGACTAACAATGGCATTAAGGGAATTTCAGAAAATTGCTTCAGTTACAGCACAATAGGTGACAAACTAGACAGTAATAATATTTTTCTTGCCAGAAATGTGCTGATTCTCCAAGGAACCACCATCCTGCACTCTGAAACTTTGCATCTTTTGTACACTTTTGGAAACTTCGCAACTCAGAAACACCAGTTGCGTGAGCAGGGGGGTGCCTTGCATTCAGTGTCATTCTGTCACCTTCCCTCAAAGCCCCTTCCAGTTCCAGGTAACACTCTTAAAGCATTGGAGTTGTAGTTGGACCGCATTATAGCTCCAGTACCATCAACATGAAGCTGAAGGGTGCACAGTTGCAACCAGAAAGAATAAACCATAAAAACTTTACAAGTACATATAGCTCTCGTCTTTCCTTTTTTTTTTTTCCTTTCTTTTTCATGGATTGCTAGCTAATAAACAGCAGTGTGACAGGTTTGCAAAATTTTTAAAAGCTTAATAAAGATTCCCCAAAAAATATCAATACAAAACAAAGTAGTTTAGCTAAAAAAATCTATAATAATGCTAACTCTATCAAGAAAAAAAACAAATTTCAGCTAGCCCACCCAGCAGTGCCATCTCTATGAGCAATTTAGGGAATGAGTTTTGGAATGATCTGATGTCAAGCTCAATAAAAAACATGATTTAGTATTGTGAGGATCCTTCAACCTTGAAAAGAACAATCAAGGGGAATCCATTAAGGAGATGTGTTAGACAGAATCTGAAAATAATCAAATGATCACTACCATGAATCTATGGTTAAAGCCATTCAATTTCAACCCACAAAAAAAAAAAAAAATAGTGGTCCCAACTCCCAACCCTTTTATGCAGCTACACTCCAGAAGTTCTAAACTGTATCACAAGTTTACACCAACTCAATTTTCTTACCAAACTGAAAAGGTTCACAGTTCACACATAAAAACAGAAGGAAAAAATAAAAATAGAACCAAATAATAAAATGAGACATACACTCCAACACATTAGCCATTACATTACAGTACAATTTTCTGGCATTGATTCTTGTTTTTTTGCCTTGTAGTCAAGCTTGAGATTCTACTGCAGAGAGGGTTTGGGTAATTTTCTTCTAGCCACTGTAGAGAGAAAGGGGATGTGAACTCTGCAGGCTTTCCAGAACAAAAATCCACTCAAAGCTCTCATATTTCTGACAGACAGCACAATAGCACATGCCATGCAGACAAGTTCAGAGTCTTCAGACCCACCCACATTATCAACCCACATGGAAGTGTGAGAAAGAGACCAAAGCAGATCTGACCCACCCACACATCTCCCTCTTCAATTTACAACTCATTAAGCGCGCGCCCGCGTTCTCTGTCTCTCTCGTTGGAATATTTCTCACCGCCCTCTCCGTGCATAGCAGGTCATAATTAGAATTAAAATTTTGCCAGCTCTCTCTCTCAGTCTATCTCACTCTCACCAGATTCATTTACACATTAACCCATGCAATGAATCATCCTATCTCCTCCATTGCAGATTGCCTCTCTTTAAGAGAGCCAAAAGACAACAGACCACAGCATCTTCTGTTTTTTGGCAGAGGATAGGTACCCAGAAAAACATCTCTTCTTGGGTTTGCAGAGTTCTCTCTGCACCTCACGTTGATGGTCGTTTTGAGCATAGATAGTGTTCAGAGGGATAACTGTGGGCATTGGGTCCATTCATTTCATTTCCTTTTCTTTTCTTTTTTTTTTTCTTTTTTTTTTCTTTCTCCACCAGTTCTGGGTTCTTCTTGTGTGGTGGTTGCTACACAAGACATTGTCTGGCACGTTCTCTGAAACCCAAGAAGGCTTCCCTTTTATCGTACTCGTGGAATGATATCTGAGAATACAGAAGCGTTTTGGGGTATCGGGTCCCTTTCCTTTCTTACCTTTAATTTAATTTAATATTCTTTCTTCCTCCATCCTCTCCGGTTGTTATTGATGAAGATTATGTCTTGGGTAGTCTTATGAAATCCAAGAAAAGGACCATACACATGAATCTAGAACTAGAAGGAAAGCTCTCTGGCTTTTTGGTTTTGATTGCAGATGGGATATTTGCTCGGGTGGAGATGTGAAGAAATCTAATTTAGTATTCCTGAAATGTATTCAAGAAAAAAATTGTTTGGTGCATGAAGAGGAACTAATTTGATATTAACCAGTTTTCTGAGACTCGGAGCGTGTTTTGGGAGAGTCAGCATTTGGCATTTCATTTGATTAGTAGGGGGTATTTCAAATTTCTGAGGATTTTCACTGTCTGGAAAAAAAAAAAGACTAGTGTTCCAGTCTTCTGCAAAATTTTGCGGGGGGGAGGGAAAGAAGAGGGAATCTCTTTGATTTGTCTGGAAAAAAAAAGACTAGCAGGTTAGTGCTTGTTTTTTACCCTCGGCGACCCATTACTGGAGTTTGGGTTTCAGGGGTATAAAAAGCCTCTTAGGTGTCCAAACCGTGAAACCTCCATTGAGGGAATCTCTTTGGTTTTCCATTGATTCTGCACAGAAAAATCCAAGCTTCTCTTATTCCAAGAAATTTTCGAGCCAAAAACCAATTTCAAATTTGCGGTAGGCACTTGGGTTGTGTTTGTTTGGAAGTGGAGAGTCTGGAGACTTGAAGTCACTGGCTTGAAAGGACAGTGTATGATAGAGATACAGAAGGTTTAAACGTTAATTTAGTAGTTGAAGAGAGCAAATTTGTAGAGATGTCTGCCAAGATTTTACATGCCTTAACAGATGACAACCCAGATCTGCAGAAGCAAATAGGATGCATGACTGGGATCTTTCAGCTCTTTGACCGCCACCATATCCTCACCGGCAGGCGCATCACTAGCCACAGCCACAAGAGGCTTCCTCCAGGTACCCTTTCACTAATTTTCTTTTTGATTTTTTTATATATTTGTATCAATTATTTGCTTCTTTCTGCTCCATAGTTTCATGGAGAATTATAATTTTTGTCTATACGTGTTCTTTCAATGGTTTGAGTCCCTACATGGTGTTCATTTTTCCTCTTTTCTCAACCGATCTTCTCTTTGATTAGAACCCCTCTCTCTCAAAAAATAAATAAATAAATAAAAGGGACAAACAAAGAGCGGAAAAAAAAAGAAGAAACAAAATAGAAGCATCTTTGTTTTTTATCCACCATTGCCCATTTTAACTACTTTGCTTATTAATCAAACTTCTATCCATTATCTGTGAGTCACTGTCTGGACATTGTTCTTGATTCTATAATTGGTTGATGGTAATATAATCCGAAACATATACTACCCAGAAAATGCTTTTCATAAATAAGCATGTCTGAAATTGTGACTTCATCATTTATTTGTTGAGTTTGCATGCTTTGGGATGTGTGTTTACTGGTATCTCTACTTCCAATTTTAATGCTTCTATTCCTCTATAGGTAATTCCCACATCAACAGTGGAAGCCTTGGGGTTGAGCCTAATAATGAACGTTATCTACATACACACACAGTAAGAAATCTAAAGTTCCACTATCCACCATGCTTTTTTTTTTTTTTTTCTTTCTAATATCTGTGGTTCTATGGCTAAGATATAAAGCTATGATAAAATGCAATTGCAGGAAAAGAATTCCAACAAGAATGTGAATGAGAACCAAAGAGTGTCAGTGGAATCATCCAGGACTTCATTTTCATCATCATCTTGCTCATCTTCTTTCTCATCTCTTGATTGTAACAGAACTCAAGCAGAACTCCCTCCCTTTGACCGAGCTATTTTTCCACAAACACCTCAGAGAGACCTAACTATGGTCGAACCAAATGCTTCTCCACAACTGCGGAGGCAATCTCTTGATTTCCGTGATGTGGTCAAGGACTCAATCTATAGAGAACATCGTAGTTTATCAGTTAAAACTACAACCAAAGAGGGGACGGGGAGCCACACTGCAAAGTACATAGATTCACCAAGGCCTCTGCAGTTGTCCAAATCGGTGAATGAATCTTATGGGCTGGGGACCAATGCAAAGTCAAAGGTACCTGTTGACCTCAATGAATCACTCAGAGTTCTTGCTAAACTTCAAGAAGCTCCTTGGTATTTCAATGAAGCTAAAGAACCCCCAAGATCATCATTTGAAGCAAAAGAAGGTTCTTTGTTTTCAGTACCCAAAGATGCTCCTCGGTTCTCTTACGATGGGCGGGAGATACCAAATCCATCTTTTGAATCACGTGATGTCTTCAAATCCACTACAAAGCTTAGGGACCTCCCAAGGCTGTCATTGGATAGCAGGGAAGGTTCCATGAGGAGCTCCAACTCTGCCACAAAGTCAAATTCAATTCTGAAGGATTTGCAGAAGGGTGGTGACAACTCTAATGATAAAATCACAAACTCGCATAAAGAATTAGGAACTTACAAACGGCCACCTAGTGTTGTGGCAAAATTGATGGGGTTGGAAGCATTGCCTAATTCTATCCCAGGTTCTGAGCAACAGATGACCTCGATCAAAACATACTCAGGTGAGGATCTTGATTCCTTCTCGAGATCATCAAAAACAGCTGACGAAAGTAAGCCAAATCGACTTTCTGGTTCCCCCAGGAGCTCCATAAAGGACCCCACCTCACCACGGTTGAAAAACCATGATTCAGTTAAAAAATCAGTTTCAAATTCAAGGCTTCCAATTGAACCAGCTCCATGGAGACAGCCAGATGGGGGTCGTAGGCTTCAAAATTCAGCATTCAAGAACTGGGATGCCCATGCCAGGCCACCAAACTCCTCCCCTTCTGTGTATGGTGAGATTGAGAAAAGGTTGAAAGAGCTCGAATTTAAACAATCAAATAAGGATCTCAGAGCACTTAAACAGATACTAGAAGCAATGCAGGCAAAAGTATTCCAAGAGAACAAAAAAGAAGATCAAATTTACAACTTCATCTCTCAGGTAAACTATAACAGCCCAAACTTCACCAGTTTTGATGAGAACATGAGATTGGCAAACAGGAGAGACCAACAGAATAGCCGTTCTATTTCTACCACAGTCAAGGGAATTGGTCCTCCAAAGACTTTTGAATCCCCAATTGTCATCATGAAACCAGCAAAACTCATAAATAAATCTGGGATTCCTGCTTCATCAGTAATTCCAATTGATGGTTCACCAGGTCTGCGTAGGAATGGTGATTGTTTTGATAGAAGGGGCACCATTAACAGCCGGATGTCTAAGGACCTGACTCCTAAACAGAACCTCAGAGAAAATGGCAGTCGGACTCTCAGTTCAATGGATAAGAAAACTAATGGTAGAAATCCAAAATCAACAGAGATATCAACCAAGCCGTTGCAGCTTCTCAAAGAAAATACTGAAACCTCTGGAAAGAACTCGGGAACTGTTAGCCCAAGGTTACAACAGAAGAGGCTTGAGGTGGAGAAACGATCTGCCCGTCCCCCAATCCCTTCTTCAGATGCAACCAGATCCAGAAAACAATCAGTCAAGCAACCAACAGAATCATACTCACCTGGTGGAAAGCTCAGACCAAGGACTCCCAACTTGCAGCATGGTGATGATCAACTGAGTGACATCAGTAGTGAAACAAGATATTTGAGTCATCAAGGGGACGAAATTTCTCAGCAATCAGATAGCAATGTTAGCTTGTCTTCGCAGATGGATATAGAAGTCACCAGTGCTGACCCATCTGCTGAGATCAATTGTGCTTCCTTTTCACAAGGTAGCCAGAGTCCTTCCAGGAGGATTGCCAAAAGCTCACTTTCTAGTTTAAAACAGAAGGTAAGTGTTATTGATTTTATTCAGACAGTTGAATTTATTAATTTTCTGGTTAATGTGTTCATGTTCTGTCCTTCAGAAATCATCAACAAGGGTAAGGGAAGATGGGCCATTGGCAGAGCTTGCGACAGTGGCCCCAGAACAACCAAGTCCTGTCTCGGTTCTTGATGCCTCGTTCTACAGAGATGATTTGCCATCTCCTTTGAAGAAGATATCAAATGCCTTTACAGGTGATGAGGCTTTACTCTTGTGAAGTTGCTACAAATCCAAATGAGAACTACAAATCAACATTTTGATTTGTGTTTTAAATGTTTATTTGCATGTCTAGATGCATGCATGCATTCAGATAAATCTTTTTTTCTTTTCAGCTTGTGGAAATTACAGGATATTCAAAAAATTGAGAAAATTCCATTTTTAGTATGTACGGAAATGAAAGTCTCTAGTTGACGGTGTGATTAATTATTAGAGTATGTGCATGTCTTGGTCAATATGTTGTTCGTCTAACCATTCAGTACGTATATCTCATGTATCTGATATATGTGCAACTAGTAGACGGAATCTTTGATTACTTATGTTTAATCACAGGCATGATCACCCATTAATGTGTGCTATAACTCCCTCAAGCGGGAAAACACAGAGTGGATCAACTTGCATTCACATGGGTTAAGTGTTGAAAAACACTTTGCCACATTCTTACCTGATTCTTAATCCAGTCTGTGTTTTCCAACCTGAAGAGAGATGCTGTGTGCATTTGGTGTCATTGCTGCACTTCTCACAATGGTGAAGATAGCAGGTGGATAAATCATACATAAGATATATGGTAGAACTTTAAGTGGCTCTAGGAAACAATATATGGTGGAACTTTGAGCATGCTTCACAGTTAAACTTTGATATTTAGCTCACCTATAGGCGTAGTGGATCAATCATACATAAGATATAAACAGATGAGTACCAACAATATCTAATGTAACACCTCTAACCAAAAGGTAATCTTTTTTGTACTACAATTTGTGCCCATGCTTTTATTACAAGATGCATGACATCTCTGACTTGTCAAAAATTTACTAATTTCTTTTCCCACAGATGATGAGACTCGAAATTCTGAAGGCAGTCCTGAAGAGGACAAGCTGAGGCCACTTCCACTCCCATCTGAAAATGCACTGTGCAATCACAGTTCTGAGGTGAAATGGAAGAAATTGGAAAGCATTGAGCACCTTGTTCAGAAGCTTAGACAACTAAGCTCAAATCACAATGATGCCCCAACAGATTACATTGCATCGCTTTGTGATAATGCAAATCCAGACCACAGATACATCTCTGAGATATTGTTAGCATCCGGTCTCCTACTTAAAGATCTTAGCTCTGGCTTGACAACTTTTCAGTTCCACCCGTCAGGCCACCCAATCAATCCTGACTTGTTCTTTGTCCTGGAACAAACCAAGGGAAGCAGTGGACATGCAACAGATGAACACAACTTCGAAAAGTCTGGAAGATCCAAAGCTGATAGAGGGAAGCTCCACCGGAAGCTCGTATTTGATGCTGTGAATGAGATACTTGTGAAGAAGTTGCCCTTGCTAGGTGGTCCATCTGAACCTTGGTGCCGAGATAATAAGCTGGCTAGGAGGAACCTGAATGCACAACAACTTCTGAGGGAGCTTTGTTCCGAGGTGGAACAGTTCCAAACTAACAACTCAGTCAGCAGGTTTGATGACGACGAGGATGGTCTGAAAAATATTTTGTGGGAGGATGTGATGCGTCGATCAGACAACTGGACAGATATTCATAGTGATGTTTCAGGGGTGGTCTTGGATGTCGAGAGGTTGATATTTAAGGACTTAATTGATGAAATAGTGAGTGGCAGAGCTGCCAGTCTGCGAGCCAAGACAACCAGGAGATGCAGGCAACTGTTTGTGAACTAAATCCTTTTTTTTTACTATCTTTTGTTCTTTTCCTTTTCGTTTATGATATTATTCTTTTTTTTTTGGGGGGGGGGGGGGGGGGCGGCGGAAATATAATAATAATGATATTAATAATAATAATGATAATAATTCATGGTGCTGTTCTTTGCTAGCCTGTAAAGAAAGAAAGAGGTCTTATTTCAGTGTTTTGTAAAATATACAAGTTACGTACACAAGGAACCAAGTTGTAGGCTACTGTTGCTCCTCTTTTGGATCGTTCTCCAGTGTTTTTTAGTTCATGATTCTCAACTTCCATCCATTACATATATAATTCCCAGTGGCCAGTGCTGTTACTTTACACTTCTTTAACCCTTTGCAGCGAGTGTCCTATGTATCATTCCCGCCCAAGGAACAGCAACTTAAACCTGGTGAACGTGATGGGTTAACCTGCAAAATTACAGTCAAATTTGTACGTAGAAAGTAGAAAAAGTAGGTAATGGCGTCCTTGGTGAAGTTAAAATCCGGGTTCCACTTCCACCCCTTCCAGGACCCCAGGATATTAATTCGGTAAAAATAGACAACTAGACAACTAGTACCTGAGAAGTCATGGCTGATGACTGTTCCAAAAAAAAAAAAAAAAATCACGTAAACTGGGCCACTCCTGTCTCCAGACTTGAAGACAATGTATAACTGATTATTTAAGCACGCTCTGTTCCGAGTTGTTGCACTTTTTTCAGATTATTTGCTAAGAGTTAAGACCACCACATCATCCACTCCACCAGTTTTTCTGGCGCATTCATCCGGACGGAACACGTCTCGCTAAAGATCAAAAGTGCTGTCGGGAATGAAAGTCTATTTCTCGACATGACTTTCTTCATTAATCGGCCAAGCCAGCTAAGGTGTTTAGGTTCCAGTATAGATGGTTGGATACAGAGATCCTTGGATATCCATAATTCTGGCAGCCGGCCGTCGTTTTCACGAAAAACGACCCGTCCACTGAATTGTATTTGCCAAATGCTAGCAACCACTGCCGACCCAAAAACGTAGTATTCAACGACTAACGATTCACAGAAAAGCTCCAACTAAAATAGACTTCCTCAGCCACAGACCGATCCACGTCTTTCTTTCTATTGTCGATGCATCTATCTTTTCGTATTTCCTCAATCATCCAGGTCCGGAAGGGCTTAACTTCAATCTCTTGCTGTAACTTAACAACCGTTGAGGTAATCCCACCATTCGAGTGATGGAATATGAGCACAAACACAAGCTGTATTTTGATTAGATTATGGGTAAACACCAAGACTTGTTTGCCTTCAACCTTTCTATCTGACTGGATACCTTGACTCCACTTGGCCTTTGTTCCAGGGTGACAGTGGAAACCAACTTGTAGTCGACTAGATGCAACACTTTCGTCCCCTGTAAGGCTTAGGCTCGTTGTTCACTTGTTTGGAACCAAAACCTAGCAGGGCATTTGAAGCGATCCGCGAAAAGGGAAAAAAAAATTGTGCAGCATTTGCATAACCAATGAAATCAATGGGTAGTGCCATTATTAATTCACTAAAAATCACAACCAGTCAAAAAGGTAAAAAAAAAAAATCCAAATTATAGATGAACTTTATCAAAATAGTTGGGCATAACTTTTAGCAAACGATCAAGAGCAACACAAGTACCATCTGATATGAACTTTACCGTGGTGTTACATTCTTCAGTTTTTACTGCTAGATTCTCAACTACCAAACAGAAGTCGAAGGTACCAATTTGCCCTACCTCTATCCTAAACTTTTCTATCCAATTGGACCCTCTCGAGCCCAACTAAAGAGTACATCTAGGAAGCAGGTTCCCCAAAAAATTACCATTTCATAAAAAGCAACAAGGTAGAGTAAAATACATGGTCGCAGAAGTATAACACAAAGAATAGACAAATCTAACAAGACTCAGAGCAACACATGTACACACGCCTGAGAATAGGCTATTTTTTTGACTTGCAAATCCAAGATTAACAGGAAGAATAGCCTTGCTTATCTATGGTAAACATGGTTATAGACACAGCGCTGATAACTGAATCATACATACTATGGTGTCAAGATTCTTCCTAATATAATACAACAAAATGGTAATGAATGTTCGACACATTTAGGGTCCATTTGGTTCACAGGAAAAGGGATCTGGAATCGGAATAGGCATCCAACTGTTTAGTTGGGCGGAATCAGAATCTGATTCCCATTCCTGGTGACAATCTGAAAGAGAAGGGAAAAAGAAGCAACTTGAGACATGTTGGTACCCAGAGCCAGAAAGGGGAAGGAAACTTCTATATATCATCATACAATTAATATGAACATACTTACAAATGGAAACCAAGACATGACTTCAAGGAAGCTCTGCTTGGATTTATCAAAATTAACACAAAGATCTTAAGCTAAGACCAGCTTAATTCGCTCAAAAGACATTGAATCAGACCAAAAAAATGACCTAACTCAAAATATAGCACTAATGAGCTATATCATAACGCAAAGATTATTTTTTTTTTGATCAATAATAACGCAAAGATTATTGAGAGAGGTCCTAAGTGCCATGATGCCATACTTGATATAAAACACACTTGAGGCATAGTCGAAGGACAAGAAAAGAATAATGTGTTCTAAGCTCACAGTCTGTCCTAGTTGTATTGGTGCATTCTAGGTTTTTCTATCATCACATTTTGTAAAAGAAAAAAACGTTTTAATGCACCTTAATAGAAAATAACTTCTGTTACAAGTTGAAAGGCCTAGAAGAGCTAGAGGCAGACCAAAAAGAACACGAGTTGAAGGGAAAGCATAGCTATAAACAAAATAGGGTATGAGGCATAAAAAAGCAGAAAGACCAATGGTGGGATTCTAGGATTCGAGAAACCTCAACCCCCCCCCCCCCGACCCAAAAGATCAGAAAGACCAATCAACAAAGAGACTACCCCTCTTATGTAGTAAATGAAAGAGAAAAATAGAGCAATAAACCCAATGAAAACTAATTCAGGAGCCCATACCACCTCCCCTCCCAAAAGAAATTCCCAGCTACCACTCTGGCAAAGCTGTATGCTAGAATTGGCTTAACTATTTTGTACCAGAATTGGTTTATGCATGCATCCAAAGGAATGAAGCATTTGCTCTGGCAACCAAAAGAATATAGGCTCCCTAATCATGTGATACAAGTCCAAAGGTCCATGCCACCATAGCTCACCCACCCAAATCACCACCTAAGGAATCCTTAACCCCACGTATAATAACCAAGAGAATCTTTGACAAACTAGAGCATCACATTGGGTGCTCAGTAGATGAATTTAAAGGGGTTGGAAGGCAGTAGCTGGCTTTGCTTCTTGCAGTGGTAATGGCTTGGTTGGTTCCTGCAGAAGGAAAGGACAAAACTTATCAATCTTAACATCAAACTAATAAAGGGGCCAATAACAACTCACTGCCAAAGACAATAGAACCCTCACAGAAGTCATTTTAGCCACTAGAGAGATCTCTAGGTAATCTATCCTAGATACTTAGGTATAACCCTTGGCAGCAAGTTGAGCCTTATATCTCTCAATTGTCCCATCAATATAGTACTTGATGGTGTAAACCCACTTGTAACCAACAAGCTCTTTCCCAGCAGACAAGTCAACAATGTCTCAAATATTGTTCTTATAAAGTGCTTCTATATCAGTTGTCATAGCATCCCTCCACTCTAGTATGGCTAAGGCTTCAATTACACTATTGGGAATGAGTTGAGAAGAAATAGAAGCTAGAAAAGAATAGTAGGAAGGGGACAAGTTGAAAGAAAGGTGTTTGGAAATGCAATTAGTTGTACATTTGCTCTTACCTTTCCTCACAACAATGGGTGTCAAGGTCTAGGAAAGAAGATAATAGAGATGGAGGTGTATGATTTGTCCTCTCTCCAGTGACTAGAAGTGCTTGAGACTCAATTAAGGTGGGGGAACATGTGCATGCCTTTGTCTTTGTTGTTGGTACCACCTCTAAACAATAGGATGAGTGATAGAGGAGGAGGAACATGAATGGGAGAGCAAGGAGGAGAAAAGACTTCATCACCTAAATAGAAGTAACTGTAGAGGGCTCAACATCAACACAAGTTTCAACAAGTGTCGGCAAGAAAAGGGGTTACATAAACATTTCAAGAGAGCGCTCCCCCTCAAAAGAATGACTATAAAAGGGAATAGACTCTGCAAAAGTGACATCTACAAAAACAAACAGGGTGCCGCTGATGGGATCAATACAATAGTAACACTTCTGTATGGAGGCATAACCAAGAAAGATACACTTCTGAGCCTTGGGGTTCAAACTTGTGTCTCTAGGAATTAGGAATATGTACATAACAGGTGTAACTGAAGACATGTAGAGGAATAGAGAAGATATTAGTATTTAGAAAGAGGATATCAAAAGGAGACTTAAACCCTTAAGAAGGCACGCAATTAATAAAATAGGTGGCTTTTATAACAACATCACCCCAAAATCTCATAGGGACATGGTCATATGGGTAGCAAAAAGAATGATTCTAACAACTTCCACAATGTATTGGTTTTTCTTCTCTACTACATTTTTTTTTGTGGAGTACAAGCACAGGAGCTCTAATCAACAACTCCAAGCCTTTCAAAATAGGAGGTAAGATCTTTCTCAAAATATTCCTTTGCATTATCTCATCGAAATATTTTGATGTAGGTATCAAATTGGGTGAATACATATTCATGGAATTGTTTCACAAGCATAAGCACTTTACCATGAAAACACAAAAGATAGAGACAAGTATATCGTGAAAATCATCAATACAGAAAATGAAATACTTATAGCTACCCATACAAGGTAAATGGTAGGCCCCCCACACATCAAAGTGAACAATATTAAAAGGAATAGTAGATCTTTTATTACTTTTTTTTATGAATGAATCGTCATAGTAGATCTTTTATTACTTGTGGGATAAGAGCTTTTACAATGCTTTAAGAACTCACAAGACTCACAATGTAGACTTAACAGACTTATTCTTTTAAATAATGTTGGAAATAATAAACTTATGAAGAAAATGACAGATGTCTAACAACTATATCCCATTCGCCTTAT